GCAGTCTTCGATATCCCCTTCAACAGGCACATCCAATTGCATCCAGCGATGCATTGATATACTTTGCGAAGCACGTCTTCAACAAGGGCGTGTCTTGTGTTCTTACTGCAGCCCTCTGAGTACCTGCGTGTTATCGCCACGTCTGTCTTCGAGATCTGCATGTTTTTCAAGCTCCCGCCGTTGTTGTCTGCATGTTTTTGACACTCTCGCTATTGTTGCATGCGTCGGTGTGCTTCTCGCCACCACTTTTGCTGTGCACGTCTCTGTGACGCATAATTGACCGCCACTTCGCACGCTGCTTTCGATCCCCGCCCAATTCGCGGCCCGGGGTGCCCACACAGTGGGTGCCCCTTACTCGGAATGTCCTATGTGGTGATGGAATGGTGTAAGTCCCACAGATCCATGCATGCACTTACTTGCACATCTGTCTGTCTACTTTTCTTCTTCCTTCTCTCAAGTGACAAACATGATCTCATTCACCAAATCGATGCCGACACGTGGCAGTGGCACTCTTACAGAGCAGTGGACTCAACAACCACACATCTCACACACCTCGGGAAATGAGGACACCGGCAGGCAGGCAGGCAGACAGGCAGGCAGGCACGACAGCGATACGATAGATACCGACAGGCAGGCAAGGCAGCCGGCAAGGCAGGTGGCAAGTCCGACCAACGGACAAGAAGCACATTGACAAAACAAGCTTTCTCTCTCTCAGGCCGCTCACATCACCTGCAAACACACACACACATACACACACACAAACACACACGAACGATTAGTCAGCCAAGCCAGCGGTATGTATAGCCAAACGAACACTCGCATACAATACATGACAGGCATGACACGACACACACACATTCGTGGACTGGATGTGTTTCCCCCGTGTGTGGCCGATGAGCCCCATAGGTACGGTGGGGCTGTCGGTCAGGTGGGGGTGCTGCACGCCCTGTTGCAGTCATGGGCCGCAGCTCGCCGTATCGCACCCCGTTGGAACCGATGAGGGTAGGCAATTGCCCGCATGGCTCTCGAGAGATGCTGCCTGGCTGTCTGTCTGTCTGTCTGTCTAGTCATATGTGTAGACTGACCCGCCGCTGCTCGCAGTGAGGACGTCTTGCAGGTGTGGTTCGACGGACTTCATGAACTCGAGAGCCCCGATGTCGACTCCCAGGTACTCATCGCTGAACACAGAGAGAGAGAACAGCATACATAGATGGAGCACACCCGCTAGTGTGTTGGTTGTGTTATGGCTGTTTGTGTGCTGTCCCTCACCCCTTTGGTGTCTGCGATTCTCGTGGGTTGACGCGTACGAGCGATGCCTCGTACTCGCCCGTCGACCGGCCGCGGGAGACTATGTACTCGCCTGACGCACACACATTACATTTACACAGGCCAGTTGACACATCAGAGTGGTTTGGTGTCCCTAGCTCACTCACTCTGCCTTCTCACGGTCGGCACATGCAGGCCCGCACCGAACTCAACTACGGCCAGCTTCGAACCTACACACAGACAGACAGGCACAGCAGGACAGACAGCACACGCCTCTGTGTGCGAGTAGAGTACGTGGCTTCTTCTCTCGTGTGTGTACCTTTCTGTGCGGCAAGAAAGGCCTCGTACCGCTCGTACTGAGCCTGGCAAAGACGGACACGGTGCTGTGTGGGGGGAGCCTGCATCTCTCTCTCTCTCTGTGTGTGTGTGTGTGTGTGTGTTGGCTGCGCACATACGTCTGTCCGTTCGCTCAGCCACCCGTAGTCACCAAACATCAAGATGTTCTGACAGAGCCGCCGACAGGCAGACACCACACCCCACGTGTGAGTCTCTGGTTTTGATCCACTCCCTCACTCACTCACTCAGTCGTGTACCGGTCTGGCGACGTTTGTGCCGCAGCCACGGCACTGCGGCACAGAGGAGGCACGCATCGTGGTCTCGTCCACCTGCACACACATACACGAGGCCAACCAACCACCAGTCAACGCACACACACACGCGCGCGCCAGGCGAGTGTGTGCACTGCAGTCACGGACCTGTATCTTGTCGAGGTCTTCAGCGGGGTAGATCTCCCGGCACTGCGGCAGACGACAGTCGGTGCACTGCATGAAGTGGATCGACCCGTGACACCTGACAGACACAACCAAGAAACAAACCAGGTACACCTCACATGTGGTGTGTTTGGATGTCGGTTGGCTGCGGTCATCTCCACGACTCACTCACTCACTCACTCACTCACTCGACGATGCGGTCCTCCTCGAACCCCTGACGCTGGAACTGACCATCCACCTTTGATCAAGGACACACATACACACGCACACGCACACTCACGCACACAGCGTTGTCTGTCTGCCTGCCTGTCTGTCTGTCGTTACATTGCTTGTAAAGACGAAGAAAGAGGGTTTGTTGCCCTCTCGCGCCCTCTCCTTGGCCCGCCCGATGTCGAGCAGTATCCGAAAGCCGTCATGGGGCGTCGCCTTGGTGTAGAGGCCATACCTGCCAGGCCACCCCGGCACCACACAGACCGACACACAGACCACTTGCTGCACGATTGGCTCATATATCCCAACCAACGGCAGGCAGTGTGCTGGCTGTATGGGAGGTGCATGTGCACGCCCGCCACTTCACTTGCCTGTGTCCGAAGAATCCCCATGCGAGCGGTGGGTCCTGATAGAACCACTGGGGATTGGACATGTCCTCCAGATGCAGACCCAGCGACCGGAACGGCGGATAGGCACGCCAAAAGCCTTCCGGCCCACGGAAATCAGGCAAACCTGGGTCAGGTCACGACAGGCAGAAACGACACACACCCATCCATCCAAGCCACCTCCCGTCGTCTGTGTGAGAATCATCTTTTCTTCAAATGAGTGAATCTGAGTACCTGAGTCGACGCCCATCCCTGCTCCGGCCATGATCAGGACCCCGTCACACGTGCGCAGCAGCTGCGCCGCACGTTCAATGTGACCCATCGACGCAGATATCGCGCAACTGCTGCAGGCAAACAGGCTGAGGTCTGCACGCCGTCAAACAAACACAGAGGGAAGACACACTCCGAGATCTCGGAGTCGCGCGCTCGAGCTCGCACTGACCGTTTCGAATGAGTCACCACCCAAGCTCGCAGATCCCAAGGCAGATCCCGGACGGCTTCGACTGCACAAGGGGACACGCCTCGGGAAAGGGGAGTGGGGCGGGAAACCCTCCAGGCAAGTGAGGTAATGCGGCGATGTCGATCTGCGAGCTGGCATCACCACAAGGGCGGCAAGGGCGGCAAGGGCGTCAAGGGCGTCACACCACCATCCACAGGTGCGGAGAGACCTCGACACATCACTCACAAGGAGAGGCGGAGAGGCAATCGACCTGTGTGTGTGTGCTGATGGTATGCAGGCCCCCGTTTTGCCACACTGCAGCACACCAGCCATGCAATGCATCGACACACGCAAGCAAACAGGTACTAACACATACATGGAGATGAGCATAAGCCAGACAGGAAGATCATAGCGTACTTACACAAGACGCTGCTAGGTCCGCACACGCCATCCATTCCACTCGTTCATTCATTCCGTGCTGTGTCGGTGTGTCTGCCTGCCTGCCTGCAGATATGTGTGTGATGAGGCGACTTCGGTCGTAGCCGAACGAAGAGAATAGAAACGAAGGAAAAGGAGAAACGGAAAAGAAAGAAGAAACCTTCCTTTCGAAGGCCTTCCTCTTCAAGTTCTCTCTTCCGTTCATCGGTTGCGGATTCTGCGAATCGCGCAGATCTGCCTCTGGTCGGAGATCTGTTGAAACGCCATCAGTCGCCGACATGGACAGCCGGACAGGTGGAGCGCCTGATGGAGGCCCGGGCGGGAGATCCTCATATGACCAACATGATGGGTGAGCTGCATGCTAGAAGAAAGAAGCAGGGCAGCCCAACACACGCCCAGCAACATGGTGCATGTGTGTGTGTGTGTGTGTTTCTTTGTGGTGTGTGTGCAGCTGTCTGGTTCGCATTTGCGACATAATTCCCGGTGCGGATGACGTGACCATCATGGCGAGAGTCGTCGCGGAGTAAGTAGGGAGGCGCCGCTGATCTCTCACACAGTGCATTCATTGATCCCCAGTCTGTATCAGAGTCATGAATATTCTACCTGGATTATCGAAGACCGAGATACGGATCAGCGAATCGCGGCAGTTGTGGCGAATACCTTTGCAGGACATCCGGGCAAGGTCAGCACAGCCACGCCACGCCACGCCATTCACCAGTCACGTGTGTGGTGTGGTGCAGCTGTATCGGATGGAAGGAGGCAAGGCGCTGAGGGCGGAGTTCGCGTTTGCGAACCGCACACTTACAAACATACATATCGATGCCATATCCTGGCCTGGCACGGGGGCATGGATCGGATCGCGTGGCAGTCTTTTGGGTCCGGCTCCACCAGACTACCCGCACGAGTGTGTGCTGCTGTTTGATGCCGATAGCCGGATCTCCGAGTGTGACGACGGCCGACCGCCCCTGCAAGCTCTGTTCCCATCCCCGTCAGCCAGGTACACACCACACCTATATCCTCATGCTTCCATATGTGTGCATACGTAGAGCAAGCAGCAGCAGCAGCAGCAGCAGCAAAAAGGCCACTGCAGCGCCAGGCAACACACACAGGTAGACAGATAGACAGACAGACAGACAAACAGGGAGTGAGGGAGGAATGGGGCTAGGACACAACCAAACATGATGTCTGGTCCTCGCAGCGCCCCAGCCGGATCCAGTGGACCGTCAGCCGCCAGTGAGCACTTCAAGGCATGTGGGGACGACGTGGTGGCTAAGATGCCGCGCATCACGCTCAACTTCAGCTTATTAGGCGTGAACAGCCGCATCAACTTCGCCGGTCCGCAGTGCCCAGAAGAGACAAAAGGGCTGCATTGCATGCATTCGTGAGGTGGCTTGTGTGCTTGCCCTTGTGCTCGCTGCCCGTTGTCTGTTCAGAGAAGCGCCACACTTTGGAGGTCGCGGCCACTGACACCATAGCGGCGGTCAAGAGCAAGCTGCAGAAGGAGACGGGCACCAAGCTACTCCCTCGTGGGCACATGCTTTTCTTCAAGGACGACGAGCAGCTCAAGGATGCCGACACCGTCGAGGACAGCAACCTCAAATCTGGCGACCTGATCCTTTCTGTGCTCGCCATCGGGTCCAGCACGATCCTGGCTTCGATTCGAGCCAATTTCTCCCTGCCAGCAGAGTCCCGGCCATCGGTGTCTGCCAGTGGCCGCTCTGCCGCAGCGAGCAAGAACAAGAGCTGCCACCAAAAGCGCTCGGCCCCCACCACCCAGCACCAACAGCAGCATCAGGAGCAAGAGGATGACCCGGCGACGCTGCGGAGGAGGACCAAGGAGGCCGCGGCGATGGCGCGGCAACTCATCGCAGAGGATGCCATGGAGAAGGCGAAGAAGATGCGACAGGCGGCGGCCAAGGCCAAGGGAGGGACCCAGAAGAAACACAGGAACAAGAGCAAGGGCAAGACCCAAGGCAGGAGCGGTGGGCGTGAGGGTGGCGATGGGGTGGGGCAGGAGGGGGCTGAGGCCAGCGATGCCGAGCCCGCTGCTGACGATAATGACCTTCCTGAGGAGAGCTGTCTGCTCAACAACCCCTTCGCCGCCCTCAGCTCCAACGCCACCACTACCACCCGCCGCGAGGACCCCAACAAACCACCTGCCAAGCGCACGAAGGCCAGCCCCCTGACCAAGGACCCGTGTGCAGTCAAGCCGCCCTCATCGACTCACCAGCACGAGCACCGCTCACCTCCCAAGGCGGTCCAGGTGACGACCCACGAGCACCACAGAAGCGAGGGAGCCGGCGGTGTGGCGTCCTGTTCGTCGTCCGCTCCTCCGCCAGCTGGTGTGTGTGACGCCGACGAGGTGCGCTCGACAGCCCAGGCTGGTCTGCTTCCAAGCCCATCGCTGTCGACCGATGACGAGACGCTACGAGCCGGCCATAGCGACGGTGGGACAGCCATGCAGCCCCCGCCGGACACCGTACCACTCAGCGTATTCAACAGGTGCGTGTGGATGGATGGATGGATGGATCCGCTAACACCTGTTGCATGTCTGTGTTCTTCCTTCTTCGTGTCTGCAGCGTTGTTGGCGAGCTCCGGGCACACAACGACACGTACGGCTGCACAATACATGCAATGGTCCGCTGACACACAAGTGTCTGTGTTGTGTTGTGTTGTGTTGTGTTGTGCCTTCTTGGGCAGGTTGGGGCAGCTGGCTACTGCTGCTGAGCAAAGGGCGTTTGATGCGGAGAAGCGGTGAGCAGCACACAGGGCAATGCGCATGGGATGGCTGGCTGTCCATTTCTCTCTTGCCTGCCTGAGGGTTCATTACATTCAGGTTGCGTGAGGCCGAGGTGGAGTGCGAGAAGCGCGCCAGTGTGGCTGAGGAGGCCCTCAGGGATGCACTCGCCGCACAGGAGGACAAGTAAGGCAGATCTGTGATGGCTATGCATTCATCTGTGTCTGCCTCTTCATCCACTGTCAGGTTGCGATCTCTCGAGGCGGTGCACGGCCAGCACATACGCGAGCAGGA